TGTGGTAAATGTTTCAAAATCAGCATTTAGTCACCTCTTGTAGCAAACAATTTTTAGTTCTCAACCATTGCAGAATTAATCGCTCATTTAAATAAACATCACCCTCTATCAAACCAATAAAACAGATAAAACACCCGTTTGTTTGCCCCACATACACATTTAGACACTGCCAGTATCTTTTAAAAGTATATGTGCTTCTTATGCATACAGTCGAATATGGTCCAGTTAGTATATACAACAGATTTTTTAAAAGATCTTGCAGGGGAGGAATTTATTCATTTTCAATACTATGCAATTTGATATTGACTTATCTTTTGCAAACCGAAAAAAAATTAACACATGATATTATGAGATACAAATGGATTAAAAATGATTTTATTGGTAGCTTGATTTCAATGGTATTTTTTTCTCGTAGAATTATTTTTGCGGTTGTCGAGATGGCAAGAATGGCAGAGATGGTAAGGATGGTCGCGATGGTAAAGACGGTCGCGATGGAAGTGATGGCAGAGATGCATGTCAGGTATTACCATGGTTTATGAATTGATTCGAAAGCATTCGGCGATTGTCGAAAGGGAGCCGATTGCACGACCGAAAGAGACTATGGTTACGCTATTTTGACAATCAAAATTTCACTCAGTTTACATAGAAATGGAGACTAAATGGAGCCAATGTTTACTACAGACCATCTTACAGTACAAATTTGTTGTTTTAAAATTAAAATTCAGCTTTTTTTAATTGTTTTAATTAAAATTCATTTCATCTAGCAAAACCCATGGTTACTTTCGGTTGTGCAATCGCCGTTCGACCATTGTTATGACATTCGCCATATATCCAACAACCTTTTTTGAAATAGGTATATTGAACTCATATGATGGACCGTGTTAAAATAAACTAGCRACCCAGAGCGTAATTTACATATTCCTCATTGACTTGTGTCCAAGACTACTGTTCTTATTTTATAGGCCATGAAGCAGAAGCCTTCGATCCATTTGGACGGAGCTCTAGAAAAACATGCCACCATTCAGCCTAACACAAGTAATGTATCAACGTATCAAATACGCTATACTAAATTTAAGAACGTACTGTAAAAACTTAGCCACTATTTTTTTTTTCATACAACTTATCTCGCGGAAYATTTCTTTTTGTTGAACTTAAAAAGGGCGAAATATATGAATCGTTAACAAAGGTTTTACAGTCATTTGTTACCAAAATTCAGGAGTAAAGGAAAAGCAGCATTTACTTTTCGCACAAATAAAGAAATTCCACACAGTGAGTAGTAGTGTTGACAAACGTGCAAAATGCTCGAAAAACTTTTTCGCGAGAAGATGCAAACAAACTTGAAAAATGTGAAGCTATTGATATTATTTTTTTTATTTTTTATTTTTTATTTTTGTAGATCTTGACTCATGGAGCACTGCAGCTCCAGCTGGTCACGTGTCAGGAGGTATGAAGTACCATAAAGGTGTAATAACGGTCCCTGTGGATGGAGTATACTTTGTTTATTGTCAGGTATATTATGGCAAACCGAATTCTGGTGGTCGCCATCGGTGAGTGAATAATGACTCACATTATCATGATAGTTCTTATATAACTTCCCGTATAAAAGAAACAATCTATACTTTCCAAAGATAGAGATATGTGTAGCCGACTTTCCAGATTTCTCAGACCAATGATCTGAATTACATCTGGATTTACATTGTGAGTGACTTGGACAGACTGCTATTGAAGGCGCTTTAAGCAGCCGTGCAGTTTACCAACATGAGGATTTTGAACCACTGACGTTAAAGAACCACTGAGGACGCAGGTGCGACCATCCTCATGTTAGATTTTGTTAGTGCGTTAGTGCCCTCAAGGTTATGCGGTCGAAGTACAGACACTGAGGATGGTCGCACCTGCGTCCTCAGTGGTTCTTTATCGTCCACTTACAGGGTTAGAGTAGAGTAGACGGCACCTCCGATTTAACGTCGTTATCCGAGAGGACGTGAAGATCTTACCATTTGCAGATGGAGAAACAAAAGGCAGCAACTTCTACTCAATTATTTTAAGACCCTGAGTATTGGTCCGGCCAGGATTTGAACCCACGACCTCTGGTATAGCCAGAGGTCATTCTAAACGGCCAAAAAAATGAGAATTGCATTTCAGTCCACCCTACCCCAGACAAAACTACTACCTAACCCACACAAATGGGCAAAAAATTATACCCTATCCCAGACTTTGAGCTCCGAAAAAGGGACCCTGTCGAGCGGCACATACCCGTATAGCAAATATATAATTACCCCCAGGGTACCTATATATCGCTCCTAAATTGTATCTCTACTTATTATTATTATTTATTTTTTTACTTTTTGAGCTTAGAACTATCTGATATTGTGATTGATGATTGATTTGGTAACTGTTTACTGCATACCTTTTAGTTCCCGAAGAAAATATTGATTGATTTTAATGGTCTTTAATCATGATCTTGATCGTGAAGTAGAATCTTTTCAGTTTTAATGACCTTCGTTGTATTTACCTTTAGTATTTTCGTAAACAACAAGYCAATGGCCCTTGCTGGGAACAATGGTGATCCAAAAGAAGGAACCGAATACACGGGGCTTGCTTTGAAACTTAAAGCTCGAGACAAGCTGACCTGCAGGTTGTCATACACTAGCCGTGTGTGGCTGGGAACACATCACACGTTCTTTGGAGCATTTCTCCAGTAACTGGAGAAGTGTTGCTGCTCAGTGATCAGTGAGATCGAATTAGAAATAGAAGCATTGTAACAATTATAAAGATTGTTGAGTAAACCTGTAGTAGAAGAACAACAATGTGCTTATTTAAGTTCATGAGTCAATCATGAGGGCTTATTAAGAGAGGGAGGAGGGGTAGTGGGGTTAGGCTAGCCACCCCCTTTAAAGGTTCAAAAATGTAGAAATAGCATGCCGAAAGAACACAGAACGTCCTTATTCAAATTCGCTTAGCCCAAAAGAAGCGCTTAAGTTTTCTATACAAAGCAGAACTAGTTTGATTCATGAATCAGCAGCAATTCCCTCGAAATTTTTGAGAAATTTTTTTTTAAGACCGTGTCGGGCTGCCGTGCATATCTTGAGATACTGCGTTTAAAAAAATACTTTCCACTCTCTAATTATTCATCCGAATACAATCAAACTTAGCAGTTATGCTATTTTTAGTATCCGATTCGAGATTGCTTCAACTTGCATAGTACTTGTCACCACTCTAGCCTCCGTTTGGTACTGAGGCTATCACCACTCCCTCTTTGAATTGAAAGCTACTTCACATTTTCATCGTAGTGACCTAAACGATCTCCTGCCTCAAAGACCAAGACTGAATGACTTTTAATAKCGAGTATAGAATTCCACATATCTGTTTCGATTCATATCCTTGAACCCTAAAATGAAAACTGTTCTTTTCTAGAAACATTTCAATCCATAACTATGAAGTTCGAGATTTCTTCTTAAGCACTTAAAGAAAGCAGTTATTTTCTACTAACAAACTGCAAGCAATTCAGCCCTGTAATGCATCCATCATTAGTCTGATACATCTTATTATGTCTGAATAACTAGGGAATCCAAGTCAACCAGCAAAGGAAAAAAAACTTGAACAAAAATAGACTGAAAAAGGTATCGTCAAAAAGGCTGTGTTCAAAGACTGAAATAGTCCTCCATTTTTTGTGCTTTTTTCAAAAAGTTTAAGTAAAACTTTTTTTTGATTCTTTGAATGTAAAGCGTCAGAAGAGGTTGTATCAAGTTTGTAGCAAAACTATTTTAATCAAAGTTATTGCCCGAGTGCGTTTAAACAAAAAATGTCGAGAGTTMACTAGAATTATTCATAAAATAAACTTTTTTTAAGTAATGGCCAAGTCTAGAGTTTTTTTATGGTCAAAAATAGATATAATGGCCTTCTTTAGAGACAAACTGAAAAGTTGAACTGATGCAACATACCGAGGTCGTCCATCGACCTTGAGAAGCACACCATCTGCCGAGTAAGACCGTCATTCCTCAAGTATTTTAGAATGAAACATTGTAAGATCTGATTGAATTCACACAGCAACATACCATATGTTGTAGTTTATAGATTTTCATTTGCTTGAATCCAAAAATGAAAGTTCTCGAGTAAAATGAAAGAGAGAAACGGAAAGGTGTGTTTTGTAACAGCACTCATCGCGGCTGCTTTATAAAGTAAGTTAAAACAAAACGAAACAAAACAACAAAAAGACTCAAGATGCATYAATTATTGTGCATATTGAAATTCATCTTCCTYCAGACAGATTAATTTATGAAAAATTGTCAGGTTACGGTAATTAACTCGTGATTATAATAATCACTCGTCACAATAGTCAAATAAGGTTGTTTCGTGAGCGCAGTACACGCAAGGTTGAACAAGATAACCGATCCATTCATGATAACAACACAAAACACCTTTATACACATCATGCATAGCAGGCGGTCTTTGACATTTGTTAACTTATTTATTSAATAAAATGCAAAAAATTACTACTACAATTACAACGCGTGGCCATCGCTCTATGAACACCATATMATTATTTATAGAACCTAATATTGTATAGAAAACCATAGTTCTTGAATTTCACTTAAGCAGGGGTAAGYCTCCCACAACATGACAGCGATCTCGTAGTACTATTGTACAGTTAGGGGATGGTCTCTTTAGATAACTGATTCTATATTAAGACATTGACATGTATATCGAGCATATTTTAGATATCCAAAACAGATAAACCGAATATTATTGACATAGTAGGGGTCATATACAATTATTAAAGTCATTTATACTATCTAAGGAAAATTATATAAAAATCTCTAGTATCTATGAATGTCTCAATTTTCGATCATGAGGATTTCTTTTACCATAGTTTCATAGTCGATCTCGCCACGATTATTCACRTGGCCTGTTATAAGCGCATCGATCTCCTCATCTGTCATTTTCTCCCCAAGTGATGTGAGTACATGCCGAAGCATAGATGATGATATAACACCGCTCTCCGTTCTGTCGAAGTGCTTGAAGCAGTCGATCACAGCCTCGGACGAAACCTTTTTTTCTGTGGTAGCACAGTGCTGAACTACGGAATGATARATCGGCACAAACTCCTCGAARGCCATGGTATCCTTGCCGAAGTTTCGTTCTACTTTKCGAACTTCTGCCTGGGTTGGGTTGAGTCCAGCTGCTCGTAGACATTGCCCAAGATAGCTGACATTGATTCTCTCTGCTCCGGTCGTATCGTACAARTCAAATATGTCTTTCAGCAAAGCATTATCTTTCTCGATTAACTGTTTTGCATTCATCTTTTTTCGTTGAGACAACAGCGTACAAAGTTGAAGTCAGCTTAGTGGAGTGTGAGGTACAACAAAACCACGTAAAGCTAGGAGAGTGACGTCAACCCACGTGACCAAACCCAAAACATCATACATTCTCTGAATAGTTGTGAAATGAAAGATACATGGGTGCAGTTTTAATCTATGAAAGACCGAATAAGTACTTTCAATAAGAAAAGAAACATGCCTTGTTTGATAGTTCAGTTAAAGTGTTATCCCAGCATCTAGAATTCCTTCAAAGAGTAAACTGAACAAAGTTTAATACCAAAAAAAAGAAATAATTACTAGAGACTAACATCACGATTCCGTTATGGAACTTTTCGAGAATAACATCGACTTGAATGACCTTAAACAAATAAACTAAGTAGAGATCTGCTAAAGCAAACAAACGGCTCGATAAGATATATTATTGACGGAAAGACGAAATTTTAATCAAGGACAAACTTTGTGGAAAGGTCAAAAAGCTGAACTTTACTCCAGACACAATATACTTATGCTAAAAGGGAATCAGATTTCCCGCAATTTTGTACAAAGGGGCTGCAAAACCAGAAGGAAAAAAGGCATCAAWTTTCGTTATTTTGAACACTAGTTCAAACATTTGCACAGCACTTAATCCTGTCATTGGTTATTACAAGAAAACAACGGCAATATTAAAGATACTTTCAACATTTTTCGCGTTTTTAAAATGCCGACTGTTATGAATCTTTCATTTTCAACGAAGCCCAAAAAATCTGTACTAGCAACTTTCCCAAATTTTGATTGATTGATTTGATTGAACTTTCCTAAATATATTTTGATGAGAGATGTTCAGAACCCGRTAACTTGACCTCCCGATATTAATGGTAAAGATGTCCTTTGTTTATATGAAACTTCTCTATTACGGAACTTCGCTTTGATGTTCCGCTCAAGATTGAGTCTCTACCAAGATAAAAACATCTGTAGACACTTTACAAGCCGGCTATGTAACGTGGAAAGGGAGGGGAGGGAGGGGAGAATTAATACATTTTAGAAACCGTCAATGTACTTAGAAATTAAAAGGGAGGGAAGGGAATGAGAGGAGAAAGCAAGGGGAGAGGAGGATGGGAGAGCATCTGAATGAAGGCATTTTAATTTAGGGAAACACGAATAATGTTAATGACAGTTCTTTTTTGATCTTTTTACTTCGGTTCARAACTAGTTAGAAAGCAACAAAAGGCCGAACATAAGCTGGGATTCAGTGCGTCAAGCAACAAATAAAGTTTCAACTCAACACATATTTTTGTAATCAAATCCACGCATTAATGCGAAGATTTTGCCACAGCATTCTCAAGATGAGAGCGTGGAATGAGATACAAAGCATTATTGAGGATGTTTTCTGTGAATTGACTCACTCACTTAGTAATAGATATGTTCGCTGAGTATTGAACACTTAGGTTCCGAAAACATATCGATCTATGATAATATTGCAATACTATAGAAACCACTGCATAGACTACTTTGGATGCTTTCAAAGCCACTGAAACTTTCCCGAACTTCAGTGAGGTGACCTGGGTAAGAGTAATATTGACAACTCGACCCAGGCCCCTTTCAATTTCTTTGTGAGTCGGGAAGATCCATTAAAAACAACATGACAAATAGTTTTACTGTTGATTTACTATAACCTTATGGTACACCTAGTTTAATCACAAACTTTAAAATATCAGAAAATATKTACAGACCCATCAAGCTTAGAAGCCATTATATCCCATAACACTGGTCTTTTACTAGGCTTGGGATTCCTGTGGTGAAAACACAGGAATCCCAACTAAATGGTGTTGAATTGCCCCTCAAACTTCATTTTGAGGTCTATGGTTGTCTGAACTACAGCCCAAGTTTTACAATAAACTGACATGATAGCCAATGATGTGTATGCGAAAGGAGATGATCACAGCTCATTACAATCTGAGCCAGTGAAACTCAAAACTCAGCATTTTGTATCAAAAATAAAGAACCATTTTATAGCATTTTCAGTTGAACTACGAAATCAATAMTTGACCAATAAAATGATGATTGTTAATAAGTGACTGCCACTTAAACAAAAAGAAATTGTTCATCATTATGACAGGACACAATAGTACAAAACCCAAGTACTAACACTGTCCTATATATTGATTCCATAATGCTTTATAAATACCAGGTGAAAGACGCGAGAAGATTTATGTCTTGATATGTTAACATCTGTTGGTTAGTGAAGGCACTCTAATATAGACTTGTTTTCTTCATTATACGCAAGAATTCTGCTTCGTTGATCTCGCCGTCGCCATCTCTGTCAGCTTCATCAATCATTTCCTGTGAAAAAGAAGCACAAAATCACTTACTTAAGAAACCCATAAAATGTAGCTACAATTGTTGCCAAAATACCTTGGACCGTACAATTATTTGTCTCCAGCCTAACATTTTTCTCCTTTATTTTATCACAGTTTTCCCCCTAGTGCCCTTTCATCAATGTTGGGTCTTGTTTTSGATGCTTGTGTACTATGGTATCATGATCAATGACAACATTGCATTAAGGGGGTGGTCAGGGGGGATGAAATTGTCTGCAGGTGTTGCTTAAAATGAGAAAATTCGCTGGAATGGTCCAAGGATTTTGTCAACGATTGTAGCTTTAATACACATCCTGATTAGGTGGAAGTGATGTGGATAGAGCTAAATTCTCCAATTTCAAGTTCTGGTTTGCTCTGTGTTGGCCTCAAAACCAAGCAACATATTCTTTTGTTTCATTGATGTCCGAGAAAAYGCATGGAACTTACACAGAAAGACAATAAAACTGATTTGAAATCTCACGCATTTACATGTATCATAGTTAATCCCAGCCCTAAGACAGAATTTTCAMTGTACTTTATAAGTTCAATGCATTCAGTAAGACTGCTTACCTGAAGTTCTTCATCTGTTAAATTTTCACCTAATTCTTTGGCAACTCTTTTTAAGTTTTTAAAGGATATTTTTCCCTATTATAAACAAATCTGAAATTAGTATACTTCTCTTATAAGCTGAGAAAAAAGCAACAACAAATGACTGAAATCTGAAATCAGAAACTCAATAGAAAATTACAGACTTTGCACACTAAAATCTTACCTATTAGGCTATATACATTTTTATCATATAATTATCTATGAAATGCGTATATTTCTCCATTTCGTAAAATTGATATTTTCACTAGTGAAAATAACACATTCGAAGTTTCTCTATATAGTGGAAGTAAGAAAAAAGTATTTTTCGACATAATTTGCTTTCATATGTAATTATATGATAAACAGAATATTACATGGTCGCTTGGAAATACGAATTTTATCTTCTCGTGTTGAAAATCTCTTATCGCTCTTTTCAACACTCGAAGATAAAATCCGTATCTCCGTGCGCCCATGTAATATCCTCTATTTATTACCCACAACAATCCATGTACTTACTGTTGAATCATCATCAAACAATTTAAAAGCCTTCAGTATTTCTTCTTTGGAATCTTTTTCACTCTGAAAAATAAATTATGAAGATCCCATTTAATATTTGCTAACTACAAAATCTATTTTTTGCAGTCCTCCTTTGCATAACAAGAGAATGATTAATGCATAAAAGAATATTATAATACTGCCAAGACTGCCTAAATAAGGTCAATTACTTACAGCAATCATACAGGTATACTAACTAATGTAGTTACTACAAATYCTGTACGATCACTCACCATTTTAGCTGTCATCATTTGTAGAAACTCGTTAAAATCAATTGTACCTGAAACAAACAAAAAATGTTACCAATATGATGAAATAAATGATGATGATGAATTAATAAATAAATGAACAAACAGGGAAACATCAATCAATTTTAATTTTTCATAAATTTATATTTGCTGTTTTCCAAACAGKCTGTCAATGACACAAAAGAATATTTTAAATAGTTTTCATGCTAATACAGAGAAAACTAGAATGAATRACATTGTTGTATTATCAATTGGAGTTCCTTTCTGGTGGTTTAATTTCCTTCATACACCCTACCCTTTATTACACCCTGCCATTTTGTTGGGCTTCCTGTCCCTGCGAAAAGCATCCTTTCTCTAGGGAGGGACAGGAAGCCCAACAAATTTGTACAGTTGTGTAAAAGGATAAATTTAACACCGTAAAAAAGTATGGACACTTTTACTCCGACGAAGGATTAATGTCAGAAACGTCAGTAAGTTATTTCACATACTTTTTTATGGTGTTAAATTTATCCTTTTATACAACTGTTTCTTTAGAAACACCGACGCAGCTCACACTAGTTTACCGCTAGTTCCCAMCAACAAATTGGTACTCTAGGCTCACAAGATACAATATCATTGATAAATGCTACATAAATGATGCTGATGACAGCTATTATTACAGTCATTACTCACCAGAACCATCTTTGTCAATGTCGGATATCATCTTTTTTATCTCTTCCTTTTTTGGCTCAAAACCCAAAGCTCTCATAGCAACCTGGCAATGAATATTTCATTATTAGATTAKCTAAAGCATGAACATTTCCAATAAGTGAAAATTGCAGCCAGGATTCGCTGAATTGAATGAAAATATATTTTTTTGCTAATGATTTAATTAACASTGATGAAAAAACCTCCTAAATACATTTTGTTTACAAAAATATCTAAACAAAAGGCAAAGTATTATAATAGAYATGTTGCCAATYRAAGTGGGCGACATGTTTGCTAGCAGCAGTGCCAAGTCGTTTAAAAATTATTTCACCAACAAAAYTTTAATATTTTCCTGATATTGCAAATAGATAAACAAGCTCAAAAAGGWTAATTTTGGGGGGTTGTCGCCCAATTCTGCCTTGCTCCGATGCAAAAGAACAGGCTCCTTGCACAAGTYGGTCASCACRAAAAGGGCAATGCCATTTCTAATAAGTGTTTGCTCAATATTTATTTGATTTATCAAAAGACTTTTTTCTCTTGAAATTACACTGTACATAAAGAATCACAATCAGTTMATTCAGCTAAAATCAAATACTTTCAATACAGTGAATAGTACATTTAGAAGTGAGCTGGAACATGAAAATTGCATAAAATCTTTTACAGATAGTTATCTTGTTTCAACATTACCTTGAGTTCTTTAGCATCTATTGTACCAGATCCATCAGTATCAAACAAATCAAATGCTTCTCTTATCTCTTGTTTTTGTTCCTCTGTAAGCTCTGGCTTAGGGCCTTACACAGATAAGAATGAAAAGAGAAAATTACAATATGATTCTAGACAGGTCTTTATATCATAATGACAGATTTTAAATATTGCCACTTTTAACAGCAAAAATGGACATGCCATTTTGTAAAAAAAATTGGAAAAAACAATTAATTAATCAAATATTAGTTTGAATCTGTATTATATACTGCAAATTTTTAAATRTTTTTACCAAAACTATTTGAGCAAAATGAAATAAGAAATAATTAAACAGAGAAGACCCAAAGTTGAATGGATGACAATTGCATGCTCCACTATTCCAGCTTAAAAATGTTTGTGTAAAAGTTATTGTTTACTGTCATTCAACCTTAACATTGGACACTTGTATTTTTTACCCAAAAGTATCCAAGAATATATCTACACATCGTATCTATTAACAATACTATTGCTACAGCACCACAAGATATTTAATGATCTGGGACCTGTTGTACAAAGATGTGGATAGCCGATTGAAACAATCCTTATTGAGACGAAAAAAGRTCATACAAATTTTATATGAATGGAGTTCATCTGGTGAATAACTTCATATAACTAAACCCTGAGTAAAATGGTGGGAACTAGCGGTAAACTAGTGTGAGCTGCGTTAAGAAACAGTTATGTAAAAAGATAAATTTAACACCGTAAAAAAGTATGTGAAATAACGAAGTCCGAAACGTCAGTAAGTTATTTCACATATTTTTTTTACGGTGTTAAATTTATCTAAACCCTGAGTATCCAACATTCCATACATTATGCATGTCTTTATTACTTGATACAATTAGTTAACATAACTCCTTTGTACTTAATAGTTAAACAAGATTGAATTTTRCTCGTGTGCATGACTCCTTCAAATTGCCCTGCTTACTTATTATGGACAAATCATTTGAAAGCTTTCTAAAAATGTCCTTACAAAGTTTATCAAAGTGTTGYATAAATTTTATTGACAATCAATCATCCTCACAATTGAACAGTGACCTTTTTAGTATTCTATTCGTGACTAATGAGACTCAAATGAAAAGAGTAAGATTATTACAACAAATAAMATAATTACCTGTTTTCTTTCTTTGTCCTGCCCCTAATCCTTTTCTATAAGACGCCTAAAGATGAATAAGTAGTGATTATTGATTAGAGAACTGATACTGTTATTCCTTAGATATTGCAATGAGAGATTTTAATAGGTAAACAAGGTATGATTTCGTTTTTTTGAGGCATGATCGTTGTTTGCTTTAAACAAAGTAAAGAGGCAGTTGTCATAGTCAACATCGATGAAGAGCATATCAACAGMAACACACCGAAAAATACAACTTTCTAACAGCAATAAACAATATCTAAAACCGATATTCTAACTTAAAATAGAGCTATATGAAATCGTTTTATTCATAAAATCCAAAGTGTTTCTCGGGCAACACAAGAATGCATCKTCGCGATAATACCGTTGGAGCAATCTTCAGATTAACAAAAGAAAGTCGTATTTTGTAAAGACGCTACGTGAAGGATGTTACTAAAAAATACTTGTGAATGACTTAGAAAACCAATTSAACGAAAAGCGTAGGCGTTGCATAGCAGAATGCCCGACTAAGTCAGGTATTGTTTGTGTTTACTCTGGAMGAAGCCGTTGGAAATCATTCTTTGACAGTGAGCACATGCAACGAGTCAACGCAATCAAAACTGCGTAATTTTTACAAAAAAACCCTGTAAAGTACTCACCATTGTTATATGTCTATACTAWGATCGCTTCAAGTGATTTTGTGCAGTAGAAATGGAGTAAAATGCGTCTGTTTTCTTAATATTGCCAGCCTGTTACCAACTCAACCAAATTTTGTTTTGCGCGGTGAATTCTACCTGCAATGGACCATGGGAGTAAAGTCTAGTCTTCACTCGGCTGCTCWAGCACAGGGARCCCAACAATAAAGAACAAAGAATCAGGACACRTTGAGAACCACATGACTTTCGCCAATGYTTTAATATCATTTTATAGTTTATTCTGCAGATGATTTACATTTAATGGGYATTTTGATACAGCTAGAGTTGATTGTGCCTCCCAAGAACAGTTTTTCAAATATTTAAAAAAATATAGATGAAAAAGAGACTGATTTCTTAAAAGATAATCTTTATTCAAATAATATTTACAGTGAAGTAAAAAATTTATGATATTTTGTGGTAAGTGTAGGACTATTTGATTTAATAATTGAATTATTATCTGATTCTAAGGCTAGGCTGCTAAACAGTCTCAATCATTGATGCCATTTCTTTCATCTGGTTTGAGAATTTCTGAAGATAATCAATTTCAAATTTCAAATTTCTATCAATCAGTGATCTTTGAGAAGTTTTATAAAGACCCATTTACCTTGAACTCCCCTATTGTCATCTCAAAGGAATTAGTAACAGGATTTCCTGATGAGTCTGACACAGTAACCATGACAGTGATGTATGGYGCATTTAGATTTTTACAAAAACTTGATCCCATTCCAACACTTAGCTTCCACTTYATATCAATCAACTAAAAATAACAACACCAGTATAAGGAATAAAACTGTGCAAGTTTAAACCCTGATCCCAGAGATTTCTATTCCTCACACTAGCTTTAATTAATTCAGAACAAGGACAGCATGCTGTTTTTCCACATTAGCCTTGAGGGAGGAATAGGAAACCTCTTGGAGCAGGTTAGCAAAATAAGTGAGACTATTTTTATGAACTCACTTGACCAATATTCAATATCTGTAAGAGATCTGGACTGCACAAAACTTTTCCCTGTTAGAAAATAAAATATGGTGGATGATAAGGGAGAGTTCAAATAAAACACTCTTAAAAAGATTTATGTTCAATACATGCTCATTCCATGTATGCTTGACAACAGCAAGCGAAGGCTCATCCCAAATCATTGTAGCACTTAATTCTTCTACAATTTGGTTTGTGGTAGAATTAGCTTTGGCAGCAGACCTAGAGAGAATCAGTAAGTATGCTAACACATAAAACCATCTAAAATCAAGCAGCTAATGGCAGCATAACTCGGAGATTGATACAGAACGATAGATGTACGATGAATCAAATTATAATTCTGATAATTACTTTAACAATTACAATTTTAAGTAAACGATTTATGAAATTTTTTCGTTACAATCTTATTTCACTTCGGCTGTGTTGATAAGCACGGCGAGTGACGGCAAAATAAATCCCAGTCTTAGCCGCGCTTGTATAAAGTTTGACAGCGTGGCCTAGTGGTTAAAACACAGGATTAGTTTTCAAGAGGTCACGGTTCGAATCCCAAATGATATCATATGATTTTTTTTTTGTTCTTTATTATTATTTTTTATTATTATTTACTATTTTTTCCAGCAATTCTTTTAAGAATGCTTACTCCGTAACGGTGAATTAAACAACTGAACGTTGGTTCAATTGAATCCCCGACCAACTATACGAACCGTTGCTATTGTTTGCCAGTTTCCGCGGCTCAAAATTAAATAGTATTATCGATGTCTAACCACACAATGAACTATGTATCAAATATTACAATGTAATAGTACGGTAGCGAGCGAATTTTTTTGAAATGTAGACGAACGTGGATAAATAAAACACACGTAAAAGGATTTTCGAGACGAATTTAATGTCGGATCGGCGAGTCTTCCTCATGCTTCCTTTGTGACTGAACAATACAACGAATCAAATTAGATTTACTTTACAAATAGAATCTTAAGTAAACGACATTTGAATGCAGATTTTTTCGTTAAAATCTTATAGTTTTGACTTCGAATTCTAGACAAGCACGGGCGAGCGCCCATCAGTTAAAATACAAGTCTACCCTATACAATGTAACATTAGCACGCGTGGCCTAATCGGTAGTGCCTTTGATTTCCAATCCAGAGGGCCCGGGTTCAGATCTCAGGTGACCCATTTCTTTGATTTCTTCATTTGCCAAAAAATTAATCAATTAAATCAGATATAGCACAGGGATTCAGTAAAGAAAAATTAGATTTGATAAATAATGATTAAGTAGAATACATTAATATGATTAAATAAGTAACTGCTGACAAAGACATCGCAGGCTCGAGTTTACAGGAAAGTGATCGAGCGAGTGACAGCCGTCCCCTCCCAATAACTCTACGATTGCTACGCAATCTCCGAGTTAATAAAAAGCAACATGACAGGGAGGGAAGTGCGAGTGGGTGTTGGTGCCTTTATGAAAAGCAGAAGGGAAGTGATGAAAAACGTATTTGACACTTTCACTGTCAAACTTACCTAAAAATGTAACTAACAACATTTGAAATAAGCTTAGCATCACAGTCAACTCCTGCATCTTGTAGCTTCTGCCAAAATACATTGCTTTTAATTCTTTRTTTGTGTTTCTGATCTATTTATCTGCATTAATCTGTGGTTAATTTGTAACAACTGATCACATGACCCTACCTCCCCTTTAAGCCTTCTCTAAAAAAAAAGTCATTTGACTTTTGAGGGAAGTTGGATGATTTTGAAAACAAATTTCCCACATGGCCTGAAGTGCCAAAAAACTTCCTGCAGCACAAAATAATTAGTCTCCTTCACAGCCTCCCCTTTTGTCAGGCTTCCTGTCCCACTTAAGCCGACAAAAGGGGAAGCTGCGAAGGAGACTAGCACAAAATGGATTTTAAAAAATTCTATACTGTTTGTTAGGGAGAAAAACAATGTTGCAATGTTGAAAATAAACTGGAACAAAATCCTGTCCAGCAAGTCACAAAAAAATTCTTGCACAGCAAATTCTTGKACAGACCAAATCACCCCCCTAATGCCCGTAAAAGTCACATGGTCAAAAAAACCCTTTCCTAACAGAAAATTAAAACCATGCCCACCTTTTGATGTTGTTCTGTAGGGATCATTGGGACGCTGTACTGGAGGAAACCTGCAACATCTTGACACTAGAAATAAATCAAAATTATTTCAAAAACAGAAGAAGAAAAAACAAAAGAATAAAATARCAATCAAGTTCACAAATAAAAAAAAGTGAACTGGAAGCTAACGTATCAACATAAAACAACAACAAAATCGCTAATAGACTAATAACTTATTTGACTCACAATTTCTGCAAAGATATCTTGAGGAATAAGTCTGATTTTCTCCACAGCTCCCTTAAATCCTAATTTGTTTCGCAAGTTCATATGATTAAATAATAATAGTCAATAATGCATCAAGAAATAAGCCATATTCTCCGTCTAAAAGCTTATTTCCCTACTATACCTTCTGGGACNTGCGGGCTCGGCTATTGGTCAGCTGTTTTTAAAACCCACAGGGATCCCATATAGTACTAAATTGTTCGACGCTGATCACGACGTCAAATGGCAAGGAATACCACGCAAATCTTTCAATCACTTTGCCAAAAAGTACAGAAATTCCAGAAGTATGTTTCTATAATTTAATCAATGTGGGCTGTAACCAATATGACCCATATGGTCCCATTCTCAAAAATGAAGTGCTTGGACCTTTTGGAAAGTGATTTTTTTTTCAGTGTGAAATTTTGATTTTTTACATGGTTTTCCCCATCAAAAACTTAACTATTATGGTTATATGTGGGCTTTGTTGTGCGAAGGAGGATATGCTAATTCGCATAGATTTTCTATTGCAAGATTGATATTATGTGCTTGATGGTCCTTGATAAGGCATTTATCAAATCACAGTGTTGTATACACGTTGTACCGTCATCTGATTTTAAAACTCACATAACTTCATTATACTAAAGCTCAAAATAGTGAAGAAAATTAGGGTTGTCACTTCGGCTGTTTAAAGTATGACTTCCGACGTGCGCTTTTAGGACTGCGCTTGCGCAATTAATCAGAGCCTTTTTGATTAATGACGTTCTGTCCTTTCATTACCAGAAAGATTTTCGTTTGAAACAGTCATTTTTGCCAGTTGCAGCCTATCAAAAAAAAACACCGTTTAATTACTCATTTGATTCTCCACTAATTATAGAATTTAAATTTTAGTTATAAAATCCAACAAACTTGACAACATTATGACTTAGGCTCAGCGGACGTCGCTGCAATTTTTTCTTGCAATATACGTTTAAGCACTATAACACCGCGCAAGATTGCTTAAAACCTGCGTACAAAAAAAGTCCACACTCTTGAATATACACAGAATCAAAACTAAAAATAGAAAAACAAAGACAAAAAAATACAAAATCAAACAAAACAAAAAGCTATCAAAAATAAAGCGATGCACGAAAAAAAGAAAACAAAAGCATTGCAGTCAGAAGAACATAAGTGATTGGTTGTCTAAAAATAGATTATCGGGACATCTGATGGTGGCGATACCAATTGTTAGATGGACACTTCTGGTTATGTACTTCTGATTGCAGTGTATAAGTAAAAGGGTGCATGCAGCAGTAATCCAAAACACATACATGAGCACACTATCTCACACTATCTATAATCATCATATTATTTTTCGACCAATCAGAAAGCAGAAACTCATTGATTCAGCTTGTCAACATTCTTCCTTCAGTAATCTTATATTAAAAATGATATAATTGAGATATTTAGCAGTTGATTTAATTTTTGTAGATATACAGCTTGTCCAACGTAAATAGCAAGGTTAATTTTTTGTTGCACCATTTTTGTAAAAATATTTTTGATACATTGATGAATCAGTAATTTTGATTTTAAATACCTTTATATTTGAGCGCCATCGTCGTTTTTGTTATTGATAAAAGTGACAATGTTAGCTTTTGCACAGCTCGTGAAGACACGAGCTGTGACTTGTTAAATAATCCCTTCTTAAAATTGCTTTATGCTCTCAGAAATCTCTAACTTGATTTACAAATATGATATCTTAATGTCAAATCTTACTAGTACTCATATCCTTACAAAAGATTTCTTGGCAACTCGAGTACCAGTTAATATAATTGTCTTAGCCATAGTTTAACTTCGAAAGCTTAATTTTTTCCAAATCAAGCAAAAAACGTCCCAGCACAGTGTGCGTGCAAAATATGTTATTGTGATCACGTTAAATTTACTTTGAGATCGGATTCTATATAATTTTTGACGTTTCTTGAGAAGAGGAAGACTTTTTGCACCTGTTTAGCGTATTGTAACGTAGCTGAATCAACTCAGCTGTAGCAATAAAGTTTGATAATTTCAATGTACAAATCTCATGCTAGCTTTAATTTACACTGCAACACTAGCGATCAGGTTGAAAAAATGGCGGTGCTAAAAGCAACAAAACTTCTTATCGTACTARCTTTGACTTTGCCTTGTGTTTCTACTGTTGATCTTAAGCAATCCAAMAAAGATCGAGGTAAGTACGTATTTATGTATCTTGGAACTTTAGTCATTTCAAAATTTTTTTGGAAATTCTGGCAACTATATTGCATATATTGCATATATATCAATATATGAGGTAGCTGATATTTAAAATTAAGCCTTTAATTGTTAACAAACTGCAAAATATGTTTGAATGACATTAAACATGCATAATTTCAGAGAGTTTTTTTATTGACTTGCAATCGTATTTGACGATAAAAGARCAAAACTCACATGAAATTACCCATAATGCACTCGATGTCATGATATTTCATAGCGGACAGAATTTTTGCAAATAACTGTAATACTGTACTTAGTGTTATATTGAGACAACCCAACACTAGCAAAGGTCTCAGTTTTGATATCACATCATCATATAGGTCTTTACTAGGTTTTGAAGCAAGCAAAGACAGATAGCAGCACTAGCTTATCCAACAGATTKCTTGCTTTCGATGTGGGATAAATAATTATTCAAAATGTTCTCTGTCGCATGCTTAAAGTGCACATGCCGCACCCGATTATAATTTCATTCTCATCTAGAAGAGAAAATACTGCTAAGTACATCTGTGAAGAAAGAATTTGATATCAAATTGTATTTTTCAAGTTATGGGAATTGAAACTTAGAAAATGCAAATGCAGTGACATCTACTAAGGAATGATTTAATATACAAAATCATAAAAAAGGACGTTATTCTTTTTATTTACATTGGAAAAGTATTTTCAGCTATCAATTATTACTATGATTGATAATTTGATCTCTTCAACCAAGAACAGCATAGCGAAAACAATGTAAAAAGTGTGGAACAATTCCTTAGTTGACGTTACTTCATTTGCATTTTCAATTTTCAAATGTCTATAACTCAGAAAGTAAAATTGAAAATCTATTTCTTTCTTCACAAAAGTGCTTGGCAGCGTGTATAAACTTTCGGATTAAGTGATTTTCTAAAAGGTGTCATGTGCACTTTAGTAGCGACTAAACAGCTATACCTGGTTCGTCATTTTTCGTCATTTATTTCATTGTAATTCATGTAAATTAGCGTCATAGAAATAAATATGATATAATCATAGTGGTAAGCAGGAGGTTATTCCGAGAGAAAGACCTTTGTATGTATACCATTTACAGTTCCAGCGTCATCTTGCAAGGAAGCCRTGCCTTTGCATCAAAGTGAACAATGGTTGAGCGTACAATGATGAACACCTGTGATCGAACAACTATCTTACGTATGAATCTTACGTATGAATAAAAGCCGTGCTATAACTGCAAGTTCGACCACTATTTCACTTTGCTGCAAAGACTCGGTACATGTGGCGCTGKAAAATGTAAAATAAAATATTGGTAATGACAGAAGTGGCAGATGAGAGGGTAGGATATTATTTCAATCAGTGTCATGAATACGATAACACTATTCTGGGATATTCAATTTTTTCAGTCCCAGTATGCAAAGCGTATGCACCTCCAAAGAATGGCGCTAGTAGATGTTTTGAGTGGCAGGGAACTCTTCAGTGYACTATAGCATGCAACAGTAAATACGACTTCGTATTCAATCCCGCTCAAATTTACATGTGTCACAATGGAAAATGGACAAYTTATGGTAATCCCATGATACCCTTCGTTGACAAACTGCCCTGGCCCGACTGCTCTTGTAAGTAGCCGTAACGCCGAWCCATTCTGTAGACTGGATCTTTATATTCAACCTCGTTTCTAGGCACTTATCCGTCYGTTACATAGGGCCTGGGGGGGCCTGGGAGCGAGGTTGCTTAAATCTTTTTCCGGTTAAAACCAAAGCGAGCAACATGTTTGTTATATCTCTCAAACAAGTCAAGTCCTAGTAATGTCAGTATTATGCCTTTTTTACCAACTTAAGTGGCATTTTTCTGTCATTGCAAAAAGATGAAAAAAGCTCAAAATATTATTAGCTGTTACCCACAGGCCATTGAGCAAATGTTTTTCTTAATGACAAAAAGGTCTRTTAGGAATAATTGATTCACGCTCATCCATTCATTGTTTTATTTCACAGCGCGTGCCAACCCAAGTTTTGTTAAAATGTCAATGAATCCTTTCTACTTCTACGACGGAGACTGCAATGATCCAAATGTTCAAATGAAATTAAAGCAAGGTTTCATGCAACAGCTAACTCCCCCAAACTCACCTCCATTTTTTTGTTTATTTAATCCGCAATGTAACGCACAAAACGTGAAGATCCACTACGGCGTATAAATGAACGCCTCTGCGAGAAAAAAACGACGATCAACAACTAAGACCGTATAATGATCGCTTAAAAACCAGATAAACGTGATGGCTAGTAACAGATCATCTAAAGGAACTAATAAGGAAAATACTTAAAATCTTGGGGAAAGGGAGATAGCTAGCTTAAAAACTGAAAATTACATTTGCCAGTTCCATTACCGCGAGTCAAACCGGAACAGGTAACGCCAGCGTGGCAAAGTATTCACGAATACAAAGCTGAACATAAGCCATTAAATCGAGTTTCTGGAATCCTTAACATAAATTTGTGTCATATAATCTTTTCATGTCTGCATCACTAAAAAATAACGATATCTTCTTCGAAAAAAACACATTAATATATGTCAATAGGTAGACTAACTGATTCCGTAAGTCGATCCMAGTTCGCTCTCTGTCAGAGTTTTTGTCGCTCACAGGTTTGTTGCGCGACAAACCGAAAAACCGAGGAGCGAAAACTACGACTTATGTAATCAGTCTGAAAAATAGAAAAACGCGGACCAATTTTTCAAAAACGCGGTACAATTCTAAAAGTTACAATGTGGCCCTGTTCTAAAGTACAATGTGGCCCTGTACAATGTATGAGTAGAAGTTCGGTACTTAAAATATTCAAAGTGTTGTAAGAGATCTTCTTATTGACGAATGTACTGAAAAAAACTAGTCAGGATGCTTCTATTAAATCAGAGTATTCGCAACAAGACAATAGCTGCCTGCCTTTCTGACGGCACGTCACCGTTCAGACGTCAGTGCATGCAGTGTTCTTTTTTTCTCCGTTATCTGATTGGACAAAAAGAACACGAGGTTGTTTGGGGATATTCTTTTCGTCATCCTTCTGTACAAAATAGGATGGAAAAGAGCCACTGCATTCATCTTTAAGATCTTCTCGCGGACGAAGTGAAGGAGTAAGTCGAATCTGAGTTGAGACGTCTTGAAAGGTGCTTGCTGAAGTTTGTTTGATCTTCAACAAAGTCATCACATTAACTCGAAACCTATAATTTAGAATAAACAAGAAAATCAACGAGAAATACATAAACATAAAACGTTTAAGAATAATTACCCTTTGAATATACAGAGGTGAAAATGAATAGATACAGTTTTTATTTATTTATTTATTTTTTCAAATTAAAATAACTATTGTGCATATTTTTTTGCATATTTGTACTGAATTTCCCTTTACAGCATTTTCTTGACACATGTCTTGCATGTTATATTCTATAAAATTCCTGAGTCTTCTTGACTGTGCCAAAATTCTATATGCGTTTAATTCTTGCCGAGAGCAAATTCACTGGCATCTGTGCGCATAAAATCTTAACCTTTTAACTAAAACCGAATTGATGAGGACCTGGGGGACGACCGGGGCATGATTTAATTTTTGGAAAAAAAAAGATCTATAAAGACCGAAATATTCCGCGGTAATTAGTGCGCAAGTTTTTCATACAATTTATTCACCATCGATACTGACGTTACACAGACAGACAGACATATCTAACATGATCGAATAGTAATTATCTGTCTCCAGCGATCTCGCTGGCCATAATTTGCTCCGTCATGATGCCGCGCTTTTCTTATGCTAACACGACATTCCAGCTATCAAATATAAATCATTTATACATGACTCCGCTGATTTTAGTTTGATGCAGGTGAAAACCTTTTTCTTCTTTTTGTCTTTTAATCGCTTATATATCGTGCGAAAAATTGAATGAGCTTTTTCGGGGTAAAATGATAAGATAGTAAGTACTTAAAAACATATAGCAAGCAATCATTTCAAGTGCTAATTGCATGAAAATTTCAAAACTTCAAGTAATACAAATATATGACT